GGATGGATGGATGATGGATGATGCATAGATGGATAGATGGGTGAGTGGATGGGTGGATGGGTGGATGGATGAAGGGTGGTTGATGGATAGATGGGTAGGTGGGTGAGCGGATGAGTGGATGGATGATGGATGGATTCATGTGTGGATGGGTAGATGGGTGGACAAATGATGGTTGATGGATAGATGGGTGGGTGGATGGGTGAATAGGTGTTGGAGCAAATGAGGGTGGAAGAGTGAGGAAGGAAAATGAGAAGGACCCATGTTCATTATCCTGGAAGCTCCAGCCACAGCATCACAGAGCTCACGGGTTTGCAGCCATAAGCTTCAGGCTACACAAGAGGTGTCATGAGCTATGGCACAGCTGAGGAAAAACCCAGGGATAGAGCATGAGAACAAACGCTCTGTCCTTCCCTAGAACAAGAGAGAGCTTGTCCTAACACAGGGAGAGTGAGTCCCTCCAGGCTCCCTGATTCTCCAGCCCTTTGGGCTCTGTAATTCTAGGGGTGCACGTTCGGTGGCCTGTCCAGCGGTGGGCCTGCAGTCCTGGGACTGCCTGTGGCTCTGCCCGAGCTCTTCTGCAGGTTCTGCCCGCTTCGTAGAAGGATGCAGCTCACACCTTGAAGCTTTCTTCCTCATGCCCCAACCCCTGCATCCCAGCGCCTCTCAGGGCCACAGCCAGAGAAGGTGACCACCAGGGCCCATGCAGGCCTCTGTGGAGGGTGTCCCAGTGCTGGTCCTGGGTGCTGGTGTGGGCAGGGATACCATGGGGCTGGTCTCAGGGTGTCGCCTGCCAGGCCAGAGAACTGGCTTGTCTCTCTTGGCCAGGCATTCCCAGGGGACAGGCTTCGCCCTGGGGCAGGGAAGAGCTGCCTGTGACCACTCCACAGCTTCATGCTCTGACAGAGAAGAAAAGAGAGGCCCTGACTGGACGAGGGGCCAGTTTAGAGGCAGGGCTGGCCTTGAATCTCAGCCCCTGGCTTAGCCCTAGGACATTAACTGTATCCAGAAGCCTCCCAGCATGAGGGGAGGGTGTCTCTGGAGAAGGACTGCTGGTGGCCAGGGTCCCAGGCAATAATCTAGGACATGGGGGCCCATGTCAGGCCCTGGAAGCAGCTAAGAGGGACATTGTCTAGACCCATGGCCATGTGTAAAAGTGACTCTGGCCAGGAGGGAGGAGGAGGGAGGCCTGAGTGTGGGAAAGAGCCCCAGCTCACAGGCTGGGTAATCTGGGTGGGGCCTTGCCCTCTGTGCGTTATCCAGGGGGGCCATCTGTGTGTGTAGGTGTGTGACTGAAAGAGGCAGAGCAGGACCAAGGCAGGCACTGCATCTCTGTGCTGGGCCACCTGTCCCTGCTGGGAAAGGAGGGAGGGGGACAGGAAGGAGTGCTGACGCCCCAGGCCTCTGCTGCTCCTCCTCCTGATGCCAACATTCTGCTGGCGCAGTCAGGCCTGGGAACAGGGCTGCCTCCAGGGGCTGGGTGAGAGAGCTCGGGTCCTGGAAGCCGTGACTTTCTCTAGCAGGCTAGAGAAAAGGGGAGGGGTCCAGTGTGATGGAAAGAAGTGGCCGGTTCTGCCCCACTCTTGGGTGACCTGGTGCCAGCCCCACCTTCTCTGGCCCTCATTTCCTAACTAGTAAAGGGTGTTGGGAGGGGGTCATGACAGCTCCTCTGTCCTTTGAATCCTGAATCCTGCCTCCAAGAGCATAGCCAGGTCACAGCCTGCAGGAAGCCCTCCCTGGCTGCACTGTCTCAGCGACTCCGGGTCTGAGAGCTCCTGCCTTCGGAATCATCTACTTTATCCCACAGGTAAACTGTGTCTGGGGCTGTTGTTGATGTTTCTGCTACAAAGGCCCCAGGATGGACAGTCACATCCCAGTGGGCAGCTTTGTCAACGACAAAGGCCTTTTCCCATGGAGCCAGAACCCAGTTGCCACCTCTGCTCTGGTGCCTCATGCCCAGACCTCTACTACTACCTTACATCCTTGGACCCTGGGGCTCTGCCAGGCCCAGCAGAAACTCCAGTCCCCCAACCTGTTATTCCAGCAGCTTCCCTGCCCTGTGGCCCAAGTGAGTCACCCCTCACACCTGCATCCCCTACCCGGGCCAGTCAGCACATGATCACTGAACCCGCTGCCCTGCTTCCCAAGGCCACTGGTCATGCTCCTTCCCCCTGTCCATGCATGGCTGTGCCTGATGAATGTGGGGAGGCCTCAGAACTTGGGATGGCTTTGTCTGGGTAAGGACACAGGAACCCCCCACATTACCAGCCTTGTCAAGCGAAACCCCAGCTGCCCTAAACAAGCGCCCGGGAGCCTGGGGCCAGCAGCATGGCAGACTTCCTAGGCTCGGGAAGCTGACTTGGGGCCTTGGGGGGCTCCTGCCCTCACCCTTCCTGCTCCCCTCCAAAGGTGCAGGGGTGGTACCTTCTCAGATCCTGAGGGGAGCAGGAGGGGTGAGGGCAGGAGCCCCCCAAGGTGGTGTTTCGGTCTCTGGGCACCAGCCTGGAGGGGCTGTTTTGGCGGGACAAGAGCAGAGACGAGAGAGCAACAGTCCCAAAGCAGGCGAAGGCAGCTGCTCCTTGTTGCCAGGACCTCAGCACACTGGAGGGATCCCTGGTAGGAGGAGTCCCGAGGCCCCTGGGGGGTGGGAGGCAAGATTGTGCAAACAGGAGGGGCCCATAGTTCCTCCTATTCTTTTTTTGTTTTTTTGTTCCTCCTATTCTTTTGTCTCTACACCCCCACCGTACTCTCCCCCAACATGGTAGGTCCCACCGGCCTTGGCGTTACATACCTGGTCGGGCTCACCTTTTTGTGGGCATATCCAGCAACCACACCTTACTCCCCACGCCCGCCCTGCCCCTCACCACCCTGAATTCTGACATCTCAGTAGGACACTAGCCTTCCCTGGGGTCCTTTTCCAGGGCCTTGTTGGGTCGATCCTGAACCCAGAGCTCAGGAAGGCAGGGCCAGCACCCGTTCCTGCTTCTTAGCTGGTAGGCACAGCCCTGGGCACCCACAAGGCACCTGCACAGACCTATCTGTGACCCTGAGGGTGGGGAATGCAAGGGAAGCAGTGGGAGATCAGGACAAAGTGGTCCAGGGCTAGACAGGGAGCTGCACCGCCAGCCCGGAGGTGGGAGGGCAGCCCTCTGCCTGGTGGGTGTAGGCCGGCCAAGGCAGGATAAGTCCTGCTGGAATGCCGCTGCCTGGCTGCCTGCCCACCCTGCCCCTCCCACCAGCCTTTGTTCCAGCTATAAGGCCTCTGGAGAAGAGGGGCCCCACTGCTCCCAAAGACCTTGCGATGAAGTTGGCCCTGCTGCTCCTTGTCACCCTGGCTGCGGCCACTGTGCCAGGTGAGGGCTGGTAGAGGGGCTGGGGAGGGGGTGGCTTGTGGGCCAGGCACTGGAAGCCTGGAGTTTCAGACCCCGAGACTCAGAGAATCCTGAGATTGTAGGGTGCTAGACTTAGAACTTAAAACCAGCCCACATCTTAACGTAGTGGACTCAGACTTACAAGGCTTGGAATCAGAATCCTGGATCGACCCATGGGTAGGCACTCTGACAGGGAGTGATGCTGGCGACTCTCTGGAAATGCCTTCTCCCCAGGAAAAGACAGATGCCTGGGTCATATGGCTCTTGCCTTTCCCCCCAAGATAGCCATTCTTCCCACAGGCTCAGCATGGCCAAGCAGAGATCCCCAGAGACCCTGACTCACACTTAGGTCCTCAGAACCATCATCAGCCCATCGGGGAACAGCCCCTGGGGTGGGGGACTTAGAAAGTCCCAGAGCACTCAGAGGCCTGTGGAGAAGGGTCTCCAACACACCTCCAACACACTTCCTCAAAGCTCCTCTAGACTTTCCCAGCACAGGCCCCAGGGTCCAGCAAACTAGCACTGTCGCCTTCCTCTTGTTGAGTCTGGGTGTAGGACAGAGCCCTGGCAGTACCTGGAGGGATTGGTTTCAAGCAGGGTGGCAGACAGCTCTGTCCAGGAGGGTTTGTGTCCCTGAGAGAACTTCCTGGCCCTGGCTGAGACCCTTGACAACCTCACCCCCAGCCCAAGCTCTCCGCTGTCACGTGTTCTCCAGTGCCACCAACTGTAAGAAGCCTCAGAGCTGCCCAGTCAACTCTCGCTACTGCAGGACCCTAACTAAGGGTGAGTGATCTTGGGTGCACTTAGGGTGGGGGACCATCCCAGGGAGGTTGGGGTGCTGTGGATGCAAGCCAGGTGGGGAGAGGGGTTCAGAGGTGGCCTTGGCCTGACCACACTCACCATTCCCAGTGGAGCCTCTGTCAGGGGACCTGGTGGCAAAGGACTGAGTGGAATTGTGCGTGCCCACCTACAACCTGCCCAGCCAGGTCAGCAGTGGCACAGGGGCCACCCTGTGCTGCCAGGGTGACCTGTGCAATGACAGACTGCTGAGCCCCACTCACCAGCACCACCCTGGACCTGCTGCTGGCTCTGGGCCTCCTTGCCTTCATCTTGGCCCCTAGCCTGTGACCCCAGGGCAAGGCCTCCATTCCTTTCCCAAGGACTTCCATGGCTCTCCCCAGCCATGATGGGGGTTCAGATGCTCTGGGCTTGCAGCTTCCTTGGAAGGTCTGGGGCCAGGTCCTTGGACAAGGAGAGCTTTCCTTCCCCCAAGATGAGAGGACCCAGCTCCCCAAGCAGAGGGAGGGCAGAGTCAAGCATTCTGACCCCTTCTGATCTCATATCCAGTTTGCTTGGTTTCCGTTTATTTTTCTATTAGAAACTCCATAGGAATAAATGATTGAAAACCAGTGTGGTTGAGTCTGTGCTGTTCCAGAAGTGGGGGAATGCACCCTGCCACACAGGACCCTGAGTCCTAGGGCCAATCATGGCAGCATGGTGATGCCTAAAATGCCACTATTCCTCCTTATCTTCAGAGGGGATGGGGCCCTCCCCAGGTACCTCCTCTAATGCCCCAGAAGAGAAGGGTGCTCCTGGGGAGGCCTAAGGAGGAATACAACCCACAGGTCTTTG